TACAGTCCGGAAACGCTAATCTGGTAACACTGATACCTGCAAACCCTTCGATACTATTTGCTACATACAGTATAAAGTTTACAGCAATCAACTCCCTCTTGATAACTCACACTGTATCCTCTGTTAGCATAAAATTCTTGCTTTTCTAGACAAAAACGTCCTTGAGGAGAAACAAATATAAAACATTTTACAACTCCACAATGCGTCCCGAACTTCCTCCCTACAACTCATATATAACGGGTATATATTTTAGAAGTTACCGAGGCGTGTCTTCTGTGTTTCTCATCAGGTAAAACAGGTAGGCGGTGCCAGAATTCGATCCGATGGGTGTGTCAGGTTAAGCTATGCTGTACTAGGCTCGGGTAGCCTAATGTATGACGAGGCAGGGAAGGTTACAGTGGGTGGGGTTGGGTTAGCTAAGGTTGGCATTTTATATATTTTCTTATTCAATTCTATAGTGTGTCTGAATAAGCAATGATTTTAAGGGATTCTGAAAAGAAACATTCGGTCTGAAATAATGCATAAATGGTTTAAGAACCCCGTGTGGCGAGGGCAAAGTACTGGGAAATGTTTAAGATTGAACATCAAACTCGGCTTCCTGCTCTGCTTTTGTTATGTAAAGCTTCACACACACTAAACATAACACTTGTGAGATACTCAAGGCGGCAACACTACACAAACACAATAGACCGGACAAGCAGAACCCTTGGTGTGTGTGGGTGTAGGACGGCCGGTGTGGGTGTAGGACGGCCGGTGTGGGTGTAGGACGGCCGGTGTGGGTGTAGGACGGCCGGTGTGGGTGTAGGACGGCCGGTGTGGGTGTAGGACGGCCGGTGTGGGTGTGGGACGGCCGGTGTGGGTGTGGACGGCCGGTGTGGAATGGACAGCCGGTGTGGGTGTGGGACGGCCGGTGTGGGTGTAGGACGGCCGGTGTGGGTGTAGGACAGCCGGTGTGGGTGTGGGACGGCCGGTGTGGGTGTGGGGCCGGTGTGGGTGTGGGACAGCCGGTGTGGGTGTAGGACGGCCGGTGTGGGGTGTAGGACGGCCGGTGTGGACGGCCGGTGTGGGTGTAGGACGGCCGGTGTAGGACGGCCGGTGTGGGTGTAGGACGGCCGGTGTGGGTGTAGGACGGCCGGTGTGGGTGTAGGACGGCCGGTGTGGGAGTAGCCTGGTGGAGGAGGTATTGTGTACAGTTGCTGCCTGACCCGGCCCTGACCGCAGCCTGAGATGATCTGCTTTCGAGGTGATACTAACTAATCCCCACTCTAACATCACAGCTACCTAATCCACAAGTATTTTATGGATGTTAATGTGACAAGGGAATTACCTGTATCTAGATTATTTTAATTTGGTAGAGCGCAAGAAACATGGGTGGAAGGTTCTCACTGTAAGACGATACATCCCACACGAGGACTGTGAGTTCTGCAGGTGTGGTGATGAGTGTGGTGGATGAATTACAGGTGTGGTGATGAGTATGTTGGTAGAATACAGGTGTGGTGGTGAGTATGGTGGTAGAGTACAGGTGGAGCAGAGGTGTGGTGGGTGAGGGTAGGGTAGTGGTAGCGACAGAGTGGACGCTTGGCTGGCACGCCTCCACCTGGCCTCACACCTGAGCACACTCAAGGACGCCTCAGTTGCCTAATGTGTAATGTGTGCACACCCACGCCCACACACGCCCACACACGCACTCTCATATCTATATATACTTGATCTATCTTCTCGCCCTTTTAACACTGTCTAAATTTACCACCATACACTGAAGGAGTAAATAAAGTTAGCTTATTCTAAAGGACTTAACTTACATGCAAAAGTTTCCGAGGTAAAAAAAACTTCCCACACCACGATGAAAAGCATAACACTCCTTCATCTACTGTACAAGTGTCCACCAACCACAACAACAAGGACCATTCACTTCCAGAAAAAAAAATGTTAATTGCCTCATTTGGTCCCTAACAGGTGTATACTATTTGTGTTAATTGGAATCACACGTGGGGAGGAGGACAGGTAGCACCCACTGGCCAAGGTGTTCCCCCCAGCCACCGTGACCAACACCATGTCTCACACACACACACACTCACTCTCATCCCTCCCAGGAATTTCCTACCCGTTGAATGACCTCCTCGCGACGGTGACTTCAAGGCAGGTGTACGTCCTTAGAGGGTTGAAGGGGATGGGAAGATTTGAAGGGAGGGAAGAATAGTATGTAATGGTCTGGGGCATGGGGAGGAAGAGGAGATGGAAGGGGTGAGATGAAGGGGAGGGGAGGTTACTGGTATCATTAAGACTAAGATTGGCTCATTCCGATTGTTTATATTCTTGTTTATTCTGGGATAATATTTGGTTGCATTGTGAATTCTTTCAAGAGAAGGAGGTTTTCGTTGTGTAGTTTATATTGAAATAACATTACCCAAAATAGTTCCAGGAAATGCATTATCTATTATGAATTCAGAAGCAAAATCGCAAGGTTTTGTATTTCAAGTAATTAATATTATTTAAGTATGATAAACTAATTTTAAGAGAGCAATGTTCTCTTCACAATACACAGGGGGGGGGGGGTGACTGTGGTCCAGGATGAGAGAGAGATGAAGGGTTTGACTCACCACGTTATAATTTCCGTTGCTTTCACCTCACCAATACAATTTACATAAACAACCAGTCGGAGAGATCAACACCTGTGTGGGCGTGGCAGGATAGATCAACACCTGTGTGTGCGTGGCTAGAGATCAACACCTGTGTGGGCGTGGCTAGAGATCAACACCTGTGTGGGCGTGGCTAGACAGGTCAACGCATGTGTGGGCGTGGCAGGATAGATCAACACCTGTGTGGGCGTGGCAGGATAGATCAACACCTGTGTGTGCGTGGCTGATCATGTGTGCCATCAACACCTGTGTGGGCGTGGCTGAACAGGTCACATGTGTGGGGCGTGGCAGGATAGATCAACACACGTGAGGGCGTTGCTAGATAGATCAACACCTGTGTGGGCGTGGCTAGACAGGTCAACGCATGTGTGTGGGCGTGGCAGGATAGATCAACACACGTGAGGGCGTGGCTAGATAGGTCAACACTTGTGTGGGCGTGGCTAGACAGGTCAACGCATGTGTGGGGTGGCAGGATAGATCAACACACGTGAGGGCGTGGCTAGATAGATCAACACCTGTGTGGGCGTTGCTAGATAGGTCAACACCTGTGTCGGCGTGGCTAGACAGGTCAACGCATGTGTAGGCGTGGCAGGATAGATCAACACACGTGAGGGCGTGGCTAGATAGGTCAACACCTGTGTGGGCGTGGCTAGATAGATCAACACCTGTGTGGGCGTGGCTAGACAGGTCAACGCATGTGTGGGAGTGGCAGGATAGATCAACACACGTGAGGGCGTGGCTAGATAGGTCAACGCATGTGTTATGCAATAGTGAAATTTCGCGATTACCATAAAAAAGTTTTCAAAAATAAATAATTCCTGAAGGCTAAAGGAAGTGACTACATCTACTGAGGCTAACTTACTGCCTGTGAACAGTTACAATCACAAGCTGTATCCTCACCCTATACAGAAGGAGGACTGTCTCGTGTTTTTACAACCCCTGCCTTTTTCCACGCTTGTGTATGTTTGGTGTGAAAAGTCTCCTTATCCTTTATCATAGCTGGCCTTTTGATTTTCTTTAAATAAAGTTTCTTGGTAACAAAACTTGATGAGTAACTGTTACCGGGCTAAGATGACTAAAGTGTCCAGGGGCCTCGTAGATAGTCAAACGAGTCATAACTGATTAAAATGGGCAGTGAAATACTATTGTCGATCTCACCCGAGGATTTGTTGTGTATAAATAGGATTCGGGGTTAAAGGTGATATAATTTAGGTCTTCAAACTATCAAACCAGGAGTGAACACGTAGTAATGGTTTTAGATTTAGCCGTTAAACAGGTAAACATTGGCTAGAATACAGTTGTGGATAATAAGTGAAACAAACTACCAAACATCATTAATTCCAACTCGTTATGAAGCTTCAAATACAGGTTGGCCAGATGTACGAGTGATAAGGGTTGGGTGTAAACAGGGCTGCCTTTTATGGACCAATATGCCCGCCGCAGTTTCCTTCTTTCTTATGTTCTTAGTTGCGTTTAAAAAAAATGCTCAGACGGATGCACACACGGACAGAGAAGCGGAAACTATTTCCACATTCCCCTGCCTGACTTGGGAGCGACTGGGAACAATAACAGTTGACACTTACTCCGCCTGTCGCTCTCGGAGATTTAAATGCACCAGTCATAGCGACATAGTAACCTAACGTGAATGCGATTATGCAAATCATTCTCGACTGGGTGCGACTTAGCTCTCCGACACTGACAGACATTTCTACGGGCAGAGGATCAGTTTACTCCTTTGAGGGGCAGAGTTCCTCGCCTTCCATAATGGAACTGGGAGAAAAGGGCAGGAAGCGGCTGGATGTGGTGGTAAGGTTTCGCGGGCGCTATAGACCTTTGAGGCCGACAGTGTCCTCTACCCACCCAAAGAGACGTTAGTTAGCGTGAGACACACCACACGAGTTACATCAATCGTAACACATTCAAGTTGCTCTTTGGATACGTGAAACTATGGTTACTTGACCAGTTTGATGAACTGAGTCGTACCTGTTGTGGTGGGTCATCAACTCGTAAGTTCTTACCACTGATCCTCTCTCTCTCTCTCTCTATATATATATATATATATATATATATATATATATATATATATATATATATATATATATATATATATATATATATATATATATATATATATATATATATATATATTATATATATATATATATATATATATATATATATATATATATATATATAGTTGATCCTAACACACAATAACTACAATTCACTGGTATTAATTAAAAAATAAAATAAAAATCGTTATTTTCGGACAGTAAGAATAAACCGGAGGTGTCAAGAGTGCATTGTTTGCACCTCAAGGTGAGCGAAATACAACTCAATTACATAATTGCATCTACTTACCGGGAGAGATATGAGGCCTATAGCCAAGGAACCAGCCCGTAGGTCAAAGCAGCAGCAACAGCACTTCTTGAGAAGACTCATCTTGACTTCTTCCTCGCCCCAAGTACGGTGCTCCACAAGTTTTTACAAACAGCTATTACAAAGAGCGAGCGAGGCAAAGACCATAGCGCAGAAAACCACAACACTTCACCACCGAGGTCGTGATGGTCACTGGCAGCCAGCCGCCCGCACCCTCCCTTCACCACCTGCCACACACTGCCAGACTCTTCGTTACTTTTTAACTTTCTTAAGCAGGTAGTCGTTAACCATAATATACAATATGTAAATTTTAACTTTGACTTACAGATAATGACAAAATGGTTTGTGTAGCCGAACATGCAAAAAACAATTCTGATGACAGATAGCAGATAATGTAAATAAAAGCAAATTAACTTTACTGTCGATGCTTGAAGTTGTAATTGATTGCCATAATAAACATGTAGAGCGGGGTTGCCAGTCTTTGCCATGTTGATTTAATAGGAAAATGCCAAACACATCAAAGGCCAAATAAGGCTAAATTATAACCATACAATATTACCAATACTATACAGTACTGTACTGTATATAATTTATTTCATGTTTTACTAAAATAATTTAAAATTGTCTAATAATTATAATACAGTACTTAGAGAATTACTCCAGTGTAACTGAAATCCTGAGCTCTTGTCCCCTCCTACAACCTTTACACAGTTATGTAAATCCTTCCAATAAAATAACTCTTTGTGGCACTGAATCTACTCCAGTACCATTTTGTATACAATTGTCTAACGCAACTTATGGATCCCCAGGTATTTCACCTGATGATTAAAATACCCTATTGCTTACCTGGGCAATAGGTCAGGTTAGGTTAGGTTATACAGTATTAGGTTAGGTTAGCATTAGGTGAAGTAAGTGGGGTGGTAATCTCCCTATCTTTCCAATTTATATGATCAAACTACAGTACACTACAGTACATGTACTAGTACTATCTGTTTTATAATATCACTTTATAGCTTAACTGCTATCTTGTTTATTTCTTCATTCACATTCATTCACAACCCAAGTAGTGCACAACATAACTTATTTCTTACTACAGTACAGTATAATCCCTTTCATTGTGTTAAGAATACTGCATTGCTTCTTGGGCAGTCTGGAACATTTGCTGAACCTTACAATTCATATTATCACTTCAATCATTTGTGTTTTTTCTCATTCATAATCTTTCTTGCTTTTCTTTCCTGTTTTTTGTTTAATTCGGCTTACTTCCTCCTCTTCCTTCTCCGGTAAGCATGGTACATATATATAAAATAAGTGCATCACTATATATTTGCACTTTTCTTAACATGAAGGTAAATTATATTAACATTGTAAAATTTGTCACAATGTATTTCAAAAAAATTATTAATTACTGGTATTAAATAATAATAATATTTCCACAATATTCATCACATGGGCTCCTCTGTACATTATATTAAACTTTCACTAAGAAGTATTCAAAAAGTGTGACCAAAGGTTAAACATGAAGATTTAAGATATGGTACCGTACTTACTAAGTCAAAATATTCAAAGGTTTTTACACAATGTTCCAAAATTATCTGTTTACAACCTTATTCTGCAACCTAAAACTTCAAATATTATAGTACAGAACCTTCAATATTTGCATTACAATCTTGTAAAACAAATAAACTTATGATAAAATTTATTATATAGTAACTGTAATTATGACCTTATGTTTTTTTAATTCTAGATAACAATATATAACACAATACTATAATGTACTCAGTTAAAGTATGAGAAAATACATATGATTATTACACGCACAAAAATAATACAGGTACCTGTATATAAAATAACTTTTGAAGCCAATATAACAAGGGATTTTTGGTAACAATAACTGCCGATCAGAATATTTACTATACTGCAACAGAGTAAATGTAGTGTAGAGTAGTATATCAGGCAGCCTATTACACCATTGTATCAAGATCATCATATTTATCACTCGTAATTTACAGTAGATTTTCTAAGACAAAAACTGAGATTGTGATTATGTCTAACATCACACTTGTGGTAATTTAGGTATTAATTAAAATATTAATCCTAATACAACCATACAGTATGTGTGTAGGTAATCCCTGTGAGTTACTAAATTCACAGGTAGAGATGTACAGTCAACTACTAAGGTCCGTTCACCTCTCCCCCTAAACCACGAACTCCAAGATTCAGATATGTGAACCCGAAGCAGTAGATTGGTACATTATCCTGTCTATAAATACTTTGGATTCATGAATCTGAATCTCGGGATTCATGGTTCAGAGGGAGAGGCAAATGAACTTTATTACTGTAGTTGACTGTACAAGTTTGTTAATTGTGTTTGATAACACTGATGGCATGAGTCAGACAGATTAACAAACTTCAGTCACTGTTCTTTATGGCATGTGAGTTATACTGTATATTTTGTAAAAACAAAAATCGTGTTAGAACACTCTACAAGTAAATTTTTATTACATAATACAAAAACAAACTTTATTATAATGTACACATTGGAAAATCAGGCACATAATACTGATCTCAAACTGCTTTTTAAGCCTTAATCAAGGTGGTCACTGTAATTACACTGTAGCTATCAGTGTTTATATCCCCACACTGTAATCATGAACACTAACAACTATTTTTCTTATCAGTTCTTCACAAAATATTCAATGTTGTACATCCTCACAGAGTAAACTACTTTTTTACTGTCTGAAAATTTTGCTCCACTTCTTATTGCTATGAAGGAAAAATTTATAGCATAATACATCTAATATATCTTAAACTCCTCCTAAACCAAGACACCACAACTAGTGCACACAACCACAAACTCACTCCTCTTTTCTATGCCAACAGACACACTTAGACACACAATCAATACCAACATGTAAACTCAAGACTCCCAACTCATATGTATTCAGTGTTATCATCATCACATAAATCGGCTAATCTTCAAAATATAATAAACTTAAGAACACTGGATTGCATGTAACCATACAATTTATAAAGGCAGTATTGTAGTTTTTGGCTGTAAAATTAACTAGAGATGATATATATACAGTTTCATGTAGATCCACAATGGAAACATGGACAAGCTAAATCTCGATAAAACCACACAGGAAAAGGGAAACAATGGAGCTCCAGTGCTTCCCTTTTCCTGTGTGGTTTTATCGAGATTTATACAGTATACTGCATACAGTATAATGCTTTCTAAAGAAATTTCACATCGTAGCATAATTTTCTTTGGTAAAAATATAAATATATATATATACGGTACATATATCAGCATCTGCCTGGCTAATTTTCAATGTAGCAGTGAAAGTCTTGTATGATTAGGAGGAACAATCTTGGAAATATCATCTTATATCTGTATGAACATGTAGACTTGCATACATACAGTACCCATCAAGTGTCCCATTGTGTACTGCCACTCTCCCTTGTCCACCATAGGCCATCTTGGATTTGCAGTAGTAACAAGCCTCAGTTAAGCTAAACTCCCATTTTTGCCATACTCCCAGGATCAAACCTTCATTTAGAGCCTAAATCAAAGGAAACTTACATCCCCAAACCCAGCTGCATATTAGGGAGAAGGCAACACAACAAAACTCCATGCTAATGTGCACTGAGGCTCACAAGGGGAGGTAGCTAGCTCAACCCTGAAATAAGGAATGTAAAACCCATAATAGCTACATCATACAATATTCCTGCATCATGTCCCCACTGAAGATCAGCCACCACTCTGTAGGACAGTTTTTAGGAAAAATTTTCTTGAGGAAGTTAGTGCTGTGTGATATCTCTTGGAAAAACATAGAAAACAAACATAAATTTCAATTGTGTTTCATTCAGTCCCTTACTACACAAGGCATCCAACATAACTCAACTAAATGCTCTGTACAAACTTATTTTTTAGACTATAAAATTTATTGGAGGACAAAATATTGGAGAGGTATTACAGTAAAGAGTTTACTCAAACTCTCTCACTGCACACTGGTAATACATGTACATTTCTGCTGCCTCTCTGTAGTCAATCACTGCTTCAGATAATACAGTACATTATAATGGTATTCTTATTGAGAAACATTAAAATATAAAAAAATAAGATAGTTTTTTAAATAATGACATACTGAATGCAGTATACTTTACACTATGCAAGAAAAAACCAAAACATGGTTACCCCATCATAATTTTGTAGGAAAAAACCTAATATTTATACATCACAACTGGAATCTTTGGTAATCTGATTGCAAAGCTGAATATTAAAATCACATACTTTTTTCATATTCACCTCCATTACTGTATAGGTAATAAACACTTACAAAATATATAAAATGTACTGTTTGTATATGTTATATAAACATGGGAACATTAGGAGCTGCATATTTTCTTTCAATAAACCATTAATTATTATTATTATACAGTATACAGTTCAATACTTTATGTATTATCCATATTTCAAATTGGGTTTACGTATTTTAGTTATGCCATCTGAGAGCATACTGTACTGTATATACATAATATATTCCTAACTTCAGATACGTAACTTGGCATATCTACTATTCTATAACAAGTTCTCACAATTCACTATGATTATTTACTCTATAACATGTTCTAGAAATTCACTATGATTATGTAAAATCCTAGTACTGTATACAGTAGCTTTTGGTGGTACGGTACAATACAGTGCACATTTTTTATCTTGTTTCAGTAGCTGTTATGAGACCAAATAGATCTGAAGACCCTTAGTCACTTGTTATTTTACTGTGAGTTATCCAGTGATTTCTTAATGTGTGGAAATTCTTTGATTTTTTATTTTACCTGAAAGAAATCATCTGTATTTCAAAATAAGAATACAGTAATTACAAAACATGCTTTTCTTAACTACTGTACAGGTATTTCTGTCACAGCAATACAGGCATGTTTTGATTAGAAAACATGCACAGAAGACGACACTTAAAAAATATGTAAATAAAGCTCTAATTAAACAATTCTATTCAGCAGCAACAGAATTTAATGCAACTGTACAATTAATATGTAATTACGGGAAAAAATTCTACTGTATTATGGAACATTTTTTCAGGTATACTTTTAAAGACAGATGAAGCCACATGAAAGCTAAAATAATTGCTCGCCATCACATTCTATATTTCACAAACAACACTATCATCGCCCTTACAGGAACTGAACCCAAACTCCTCAGATGGCAAGGCAGGGTTGCTACCTACCAGCTACATTATATCACAATTGGATAAATTTGGCGCCTTCACTTGTCATCTGAACAGCTAGTCCAAATCTTAAAAGGTCAGCGATGTTGTGTGCAGTGGTGCATTCCTCACACGTTGACATGAGTTGTCTGCGTTTATATACTGATTACGAGGACACACAAAAAAAATCACTTACTATAATTAATATATTAGTCTAATAGTCTTGATTAGTACAGTACCATATACATTAATATCTTATTTTTGTGATGAATTACATCTCCAAATTCACAATAAAAAAACATCCTATCCAAAATACAGTAAAAAAGAAATAAAAAGTATTAAATATTAGAAATCATGAATCAGTACAGTTCATCATTTCATTTGGACCACTTAAATTGGAGTTGGTAATGTCAGGCAAAACATGAGTATTTTCACTAGTCAATGCAGTGTTTATATTTTGAGCTGTAACAATGAATTCTTAAGGTTGAATTATTGATATTTCTGATTTATTTCACTATTCCACAGCTGGTTAATACTAGATGCTCTGATCTCTTGTATGTAACTTAATTTGGGTGACGACAGGCAGCGTTTTATCTAACTCATTGTCTCCCTAACATCAACTGTAAGTAAAGCTTTATGGAGTTTAGCTTCAAGATATAGTACAATACTAATCAATAAACAGTTTTTACCTTCAGTTATAATGATTGTGTGAATAAAATCTAATAACATTGTATAGATTCATTATTCTTTGTGACGAGGATTTAAATTTTCAACAAAACCGGGAATATCACCACAACAGTGACCATCACACTCAGCAGTAACCCGGCCACAGTACCTCCGCTCCTCAACAAAAGTTCTCTGAAGTGAGTATGGAATTGAATGCAACAGAACTGGTACAGGTACTCACAAAAGTGAATGAAGCAACTAAAAATAAATTCGAAATGAAAACACTCTTTCCAATGTATAAGACAGACATAAATAACATCATAACATCACAGTGTTGTCTGTGAGTTAATATGGACTGTAAAGGCAGTCTATGGTCCACAAAAGGAATGTATGTGTCACAAGGTTAATGTTTCTGCAGCATTAGAGGTACTGTAACTACCGGTATGTTTAATACAAAATTCATATTTTAACTCTACTTAGCATAAATACCAAGAGGTAATTTTCTCTTTCAGCACTAACACAGATCAACTGCCACTTTGTAGAAGGATTCTTAAAAAAATAAAAAAGTGTATCACAGTAACTTCAACTAACTCACTCTCGTTCAGCTGTTATCATACAAAATAACTTTCACGAGCTAAAATTCAATACACTGGTAAAATACTATATAATGGAGGACTGATCCTGCATATCCCATTTCATAATAGAGTTTGGACTATGTGACTCAAGTAATGTACTATCCTAACAAGTCCATGAGGTCGAAGCCCAGGAACTCACTGAACTAATGACACCTGGAATATTTCATGAATTAGTTCCACCTCACTGTTTACCAAATGCCCTACTAGGTAGTTTAGTTGAATTATATTGTTCCTCAACAAAGTATCTACTGTAACTTAAATTCAATATCTTCACAATATGCAGAGTTGCTGAGGAGCAGGAAAGTGTCATTTCTTGACTAACATGCCTTTACCAAATCCTGAGACAGAGCTTAATCCTGGATTCATTGGTTGTGACTGATGACAGGTGACAACTGGGTAGTGCACAGCCGATGTGATATCATGATTCGTTATCCTTTGACCTCAATTGATATAAAATGTTTTCAAACTCCCTCTCAGGGTGCTGGTTAGAGAGAAGGTACAGGTAATTTATGAATTAGTCCCAGCCACCAGCCACTAGTTCACAGTTTCTAACACAAAGTTTGACAAACTTTAGTTCAGCAGACTGCCACAAATAAAAAAATATCTTTTCTGGAGAACTGCCAATAGTTAAAGGATTCTGGTCCCAACGTATAAATTTTGGATTTGTGGTCTTCTACTATATACAAATTATTACATCCCTTCACAAATTTTTTATACTCATACAATAATAGCCTACACCCACGACTTATAAGTAAATTTCTATTACCATATTAAATACAATAGTTTTTTGAAATTTCTATGAAGATCTTTCAGTTTAATTTCCAGCACAATTCAATAAAACCTTGAATTATTATAATTTTTTTAACAAATAATGCATTGACACCCCCCCCCCCCAAAAAAATACACATTTAATAACATTTTGAAAGAGAGGATTGTGAAGGTGCTGCCAGACCACAACCATGCATAATACCCTCTTATTATTTGGCTGTTTAAAACATAACACAGTTTGTACTGAATATGAAGAATCTATAATACTATTCTAATGCTCTTTATCATTGCTTCATATTAAAAAACAATATAAACTATTATTAGGGAAAGTTACATTTTCCAAAATTTACAACAAATCATATAAATATTATCTACTGTACATAGACTTACACCTAGACTTGATCACCACAACCTCTTGCATTGTGTTTCACTCATTGTCGTCATCACTGTGGATTTCACTGATTATTCTTATACAGTATTATTGTGCCAGCAAGAGCAATGATCACTACACAAGTTATTCAGATTCTTCCGGTAAATAATAAAAATCTGTATTGTATACGTAATCTTAAAGTTATGCAACGATGTGCTCATGAGAAAACTATTTTATACAGCATATCAAAGTAATTTTATGAATGTAGAAAAAGAAAAGTATCTGATACATTTATAAAAAGATTACTTATTTCACTGCCATCTAAGGGGCTATTTATTTTTAACATACATTATTATGAATATTTCTCGAGTAAAATCCATTTAATGGTAGATTTTTTAAGTCATCAAGAACAATAAGTGTACTACAGCATAACAAAAGTAATTATTGGTCTTATTATGCCTGTACAGTACTGTACTACATTAAGACATCCTCCCACCTGAGGTCTGGCAGACCTAAATACCTGGCTTACAGCATACTGTACAAAGAAAGAAGACTAATTTTATTTGTGACCCCTGGGGTGAACAAGGGACTTTTGGACTGAGAGTCCTTGGTAATACTTACGGTAGTCATTACAAAACTATTGAGAAAGAAATTTAGACACTAGAAAAAATATGGCAAGAAATATTTCTTCAAGTGTTAGAAAATACAGTGTGTCGTGTTTTACACTGCTACACACGTGATGCATCAGTAATGCAGATGGTGACACAGGAAAATGTCACAACCATTACTAAATACTATCAGGCCTACCTGATATTACTCTTGGTTTAATTAATGCATGTACACAATATGACCACACTACGGTAAGGTGCTGGGTATTTTTTACTGGCTTTATTGCTTAAATTATTGCCATGTTATGAGCAGCAGATTACTCAAGTAATAAAAGCAACTGATGTGTGGAGGTCAAGTCAATAAACAGTACAGTACTGAATATGACAACATACTTTAGAAAAATCTAAACACTTTCTCAGTTCTACTTAATTCTTTGGATAACAAAGTCAAATAAACATACCGGGTAACACTCTCATACTCTTACTTTTATAAACACCTTGATCAGGAAATACACTACCATTAAGTGACATGACCGCATATTCCCCGAGATGTAATTCTGATATGTTTCAGACTGCCTTCTCTTCAACATGATGTAACTATCCCCAGAGAGCTAAACTCTTGGTATTTATTATACAAAATAGCTGTTTTAAATTACAGGTCCCTAGCACGATGCAAGAAAATATAAAGATATAAATATATTCTTCTTACAACACTTTAAATCTTATCTTCAGTGAGTGGCACGAAAGCACGAGCTTCTTGGAATTCCTATACAGTAGATACCTCAGTGCATAGACAAAATTTGCATGAACCAAATCAACCTATGTTTTTCTTTTTTTTTCATTAGGATATAGCAGCTGCTCCCAAAGTCAGCACATCAAAGCATGTCTGACACACGCGTACAGGCTTGTTCAACGAGAACTTGAGGATGGGCACGTCTTTGTCGGAGCAGCGGTTGCACAGGAGCCTCCCACAGTGTCGGCAGTGATGCTTCCTGGTGGCTATGCCAAACTTAGCTCCACACTCCATACACAGTTCACCTTCGCTCCAGGGAGGTTCAACTGACAACACATCCAGAAGTCGGAACAGCAGCGTCTTGGTGGGTACCTTGGGATTAAATATATCTTAGGAGGCTTCACTTTTTCTAACCATTAATTTTTATTAGGATATGATTAAAATTAAACTGATACACAGGTACTGTATATCTGCACAAGACAAAGTCCCTGTAATACTTATATACTGTACAGGGTATATTATAATACCTAAAACTGTGGTAGTTCCTGCCAACCAACCCTCCCTTTGTGTCAATAGTTTAACAGCTTCTGCTTAAACACACAGACCAGGGAGTGTCAGGCTGGTACTGTACTGTACAGTACATCAAATTTTAATGGTGATCCACTAAGACCTGAGTCTATTACAATGGACTGGCAGGAAACAAAAAATGAGAGAGCTACAGCTTTGACATAAAGTGTGCTGATTGGCTATACACCTCTAACAGACCCCCTGTCCATAGTTGTTCTTGATCTCCCTATTTGGGGCTGATGGGTGTGGAGGGAAAGAAAAAAATATTTGACCTGACATTACAATATAGATAATCATCACCTGTTTGTGTATAAAATTCACTTACCTGATAATTAAAAATGTTGACTCCATGTTTGTTGGTGGATCCCAGACATGCTCCTGAACGAACAAAAACTCGGCAGAGTTGACCAGCACCTCGCATGTAAGCCAACAAGAGAGCTGGTGAAGAAAAAGAATGACTGTTTAAAACAGATACAATTACTGTACAAACAATTTGTATAGCTTATCTACAACTTAAATTCCTCATTATAAGGCAGGGTGGCCACGCACACGCACACACCCTCTCTTTTCCTTTGCTGACAATTATTCAATCTTACTGCAGTAGTAGAGAAAGAGAATTGTGGAGGACCACATGCATGCTGGAAAGCAAGTAATATGAACAACAATGAAAATAAAGTAGTAACTAATAAGGACTACCACACTATAAATAGGGAATGTGCCTTGTTGGTTGGTTAAATACAGATATGAAACAGACTTACCAGAGTTTCCCTCTACATCTACTTTATTTAGGTCATAATCAGGCATAGTCTCCAGGAACACCTCTGCAATGGCTGCTGCATTCTCTTTTGGGTAATTGCCCAATACGTGGAGAGGGTTTTGTCCTCGTAAGTTGACCGCTCCAGCGTTGATGCGTGACTCTGTTAGCAACACCTTCACAAGAGAAAGATGGCCCTCCTGTGTATGATATAACAAAATGTCATCAAAAGTTCGGATAAAGGAATGATCCTACATGTCCCACTAAATGACTGAGTCAAGACAAGCAGACTCATGTGCAGTTCACCTCAAGTCTTTTTAAGCTGATGCCAAGGCTAACCCTTGTCACTGACACTTGGCATTAATCAAAAAATTAGGAAAACTCTCCTGTTCTAACCCTATCCCCCAGAGAGAGGTCTGGAAGGTCATCTTTTGAGGTTATGAGCATAGTGAGTCTTGAAGCTATAGTAGCTTGAGCACTGCAGATCTATCTAAATTCTACAATAAACCCATGAAGGGGAAGGAGGGTTGAGTCCATTTTGAAAGTGTAACTTTTGGAAGCTCTTCATCTGGACTGAAGACTTAAAGGAAATGCTTATTGATCAACCTCTTCTGTAATTTCATAATTAAACCGCTATGGATAAAACTAAATCACAAATTCATACCTTAACAGCAACATGCAGGGCGTTGTTGAGATTGTCATCTACAGCATCAACATTTACACCATTTTCAATAAAAATAGAAGCCAGGTGTGGATGATCGTGTGCAGCCGCCAGGTGTAACACTGTTTGTTTCTGTGGTGTTAACTCACTGATGGCTCCACTCCCAGCCAGCAGCAAATTTCTTACTATCATTTCTGACCTATTTATGAAACCCCCCAGAAAGAAATGTTTGTTTATTAATGGACATAAAAGATGAATCAGGCTGATAACAGTCTGACTGTCTGGCAAGTACAATACAGTACTAAAATTAATTTCAAGTCTTGTTTCATATTGCAAGTTCCACCTGACATGTTGCTGAAATGTTTATCATCAATCAAATATATATTGTGGTTCCAATCAAAAAAAGATGTTTAGAAAAATAGAGAAGGAAGAATTGGTGAAGAAAAAGAAGGGAATTGGGAGAGAAAGAAGAGTGAAAGGAGTAAGAAAAGGAACTAGAGTCTGATTAAAAATTGTGTATACCATACCACTGACTTAGGTGTTGGCCGACATATATGAAGACACGAGGTTAAATAAAACCTGTTAATAAAAATCATTACATACCCTGAGAGAGTTGCAAGATGAAGGGGCGTAAGGGACAGCTGGTCTTGAGTGCGGGTATGCATGTCAACGTGGATACTGAGGAGAAACAGCACGCTCTCCATGTCCTTCTTTTGAATGGCAACATGAAGAAAATTGTGGCCTTTGTGGTCATACTGAAACAAAGAATACAGTTTAGATAAATACTACAGCGTACAATATATCACCAACTATAACAATAATGTGTAGGGAATTAATTACGCTACAGTAGTACTTGTTCATGATACGATTAGCCTCAGAAGCAAGAGGCTCATAAACTCTACGTCTTTATTCCTGTGACCAAGCAGAAACAAGAACAATTACCACCGGGTTATCTGAATGTGTATGGATGTAGTGAGGAAAGAATGGCTGGAACCTGGATGTGTTAACTTTGGGATAAATATAATTGGATAGAAAAGGAGAAGAAAGTTGAAGACAAGTGTTCATACATTCCCTGTGGGCAAGGTAGAATCTCTGGTAGGATAATATGGCAGGTCACGAAGAAAATGAAACACTGGTCATAAACAAAAATCAATAGAGAATATGTTTGTGATTTTTTTTTAAATGCTACAACTTAGAAAATACAATGATGCAAATATACTACAGACAGACATTAATAAATAAAGCACAGTACCTGCTCAGCTGCCTTCGGCTCCCGACTGAGGATAGCTTGAGCTGCCTTGTTGTTCTTACGTAACATGGCAGCAGCGAATGGGGTTATTCCAGATTTATCTCGCAATGTTAAGTCCAAAGAGGGATGGGAGAGAAGTAGCGAGATGATAGTTGTGTGGGCATTCTCTATGGCATGGTGCAGCGGTGTCTTGTTCTCACAATCCTGAAATTCAGAAACAATATGAATAAAAGAAGAGACTTACCAGGTATTACATCGGTGCATAAAGGTAAATGAATCATCAGCGGAGAGTAAGGAAATAAATATTCCTTGAGGCAATAACACATTAATCTCTAAGTTGTACCTATGTGGAGAAATGGGGTTAACATCTACCAACCTAATACTCACCTTAGCATTAACCTTGGCCCCATGTTCAAGTAATGTCTGGACAATATCCTCAAGCCCCCAGGAGCAACAAAGATGTAGTGGGGTCTGCTGGTCGGTGGCTTCCTCCCCACCAGTGCCACCAGGTCCTGGCTTACGCACTACATTGACGTCACATCCACTTCTTATGAGGAAACATGCAATGTCTTCCCGATTCTCGTCTGAAATACATAATACAGGTATTAATATATTTGCAGGTAATTTTCACTGGGAATTGTCTTGGTTTATGGGCGATTAAAAACACGCACGCACACACGCACGCATGCACACACGCACACACACACACCTACCTGTAGATGCAACACAAAAACAGTTATGTTATCCTTTACATATATATCTAAGTGTATAGGTTAAAGATAACTTATATCTATATGTTCCCTTAACAGCAACATTTACAGGTATGTGCACACTTTGACTGCAACGGCCTGACAGAAGTTCATTAGTAATGTAAGATATACAAAAATTCAGACAAGGTTAACGAGGTAGTTATCTGGTCACAATGTACATTATCTACAATAAGGATTTCCAAATTATTTTTAATATTCATTCTCCTAACATAATATATACTGCACAGTGAAACCTCTATTTAATGAACTGCTGTACTATATGTGAGAGGTTAGTCCATTATATGTAGGTCTTCAGCTACTGTAGAGGATAATAAAAAAAAGTTTATCCTGAGTGGCTTTACCAATGGCCTTGTGGAGTAAAGTCTGAAGGCATCCATCGGGTCCGTCCCCCCAGTTGTCTGTGTCCACGTGGTATCTGGGGGAGTAAATATAAAAACAAATCAAGATGTATTAACTTAAATTGGTCTTTTTAAACCATACTACAGTAATTCAATATTACAAATTTTCTTTCTTACAGCTTTGGAGTCTACCCCTATACCCCGGTGTACAGTAGGGGTCAAAAAGTTCGCTCCCTCACAAACTGAAGCAGTATCAACCACATGTGAGATAATACGGCACACTCACAGAACATGACAGTCAGGGTAAGTAAGTTTGGTGACTGGGTTCCTGTGACTCAGTTTCACCACGAGGAGCTAACTTTTGTGTGCGACTGTACATTCATGCATACATACAAACATTTTCCAAATACGAGTGAATGACTTACTGAACTAGGATAGAGGCAATGTCTTCCTGCTTGGAGTTGAGTGCTAACCATAAGGGCGGCTCGGGTGAATTGGGGTGAGAATTGAGATCGGCGCCTTTCCCACACAACAGAGCAACCACGGAGCCAAAGCCCTCGTTAATACACAGCTCCAGCGGCGACTGACCTTCACGAGTTCTATAAAGAAATTTGTAACATTATTTCATACTACATTTTCTTCTCCTATACTCATACAAGTTTGATAAAACATTTGGTTAAACAGGATATAATAAACTGACAACAAAATGATGGAACCATGATGAATAATATAAGAAGTGCAGTAAGGCCTGAAAAAGCAACTGTATTATCCATAAATAAAATACTCCCTAATGCAGTGTTAACTTTGGAGTCTCCAGCTAGAATCCTGAAGCACAAAACAAATAAATGTATACAGAATATATTACACTTTACAAAAAATATATATGTACTGTATATTTGACCTACGGTATAATCTTTCAACGTGGAATAACAACCAACCTCAAGTTCACATCTGTTCCGTTGTTGATGAGGAAGGTGGCCACGTGTATATCCTTGAGCTGGATGGCCATGTGTAAGAGTCCGAGGCCTTGAGAGTCTGTAGTGTTGAGGTCAGCACTGGCCTCCAACAGGTGCTTCGCCACTGTCAGCTGGCCAGTCCCTAGAGCCACCCCTAGTGCTGTTAAGTCATCTGAGTCTCGTAGGTTTAGATCGGGAAGCAAGAGATTGTCCGCTTTGTTGCTCTCACAATACTCTGTAAAATATGTACAGTAATTTAACGATATAGCATTTCTACAAGGTTGAGCATCACAAAGCAATTAGAAAGTATAAATGGTGACAATCGAGCACCTACTTAGACATTAACACTGCGTTCCTCGACAATATCATTCATCATCCCTATGTGTGGCCAGTAGGTTTCCCACACTGCAAATGACTTGGATGACCAACTTCCTAATATTGTACTCACTTCTGTGGACATTCAATACTTGTTAACTAATCCACAACATTAAAAGGTGAAATAATTGAGTAGAATGGATATATGTAGACAGTGATTGCTCAAATACTATCCCGTTTGAGATGTTGCACAATACATTATACTCACACCATGTAGAAATGGACCTTAAAATAGAATTTTCTGTGCTGACCCATTTTTGGCATATCACTTTTTAACACAAACACACACAAAATCGATTGCTAAAGTTAGATACAAGAGTAAGCTTGTAAATATACATTATATTAATTGACTTAATTCCAGACATTCTCACCTTTGTGGTCTAATATTGCTCTTATATCACTCTCATTTTTGTTCTTGATGGCTCGGTGAAGGGCAGTCTCACGGAAGGTTAGGGTAGACGACGGTGAACCATTTTCTGATTCATCATCTGCGAAGGGATCACCTGTTGCTGCTAGGTTGGTGGTCGGTGTAGATGAATAAGTCTGCAGATTTGGGTTTGCTCCTATCTGTCGGGTGGAATGTAAATACAGATATCAAGAGTTATTCATCGTCAACCAAACGCCAAGAGAGACAAGACGAGGCATTAAGAATAATAATTACGTACATGTGATAGTGTTTCAACCAAGAATGAAGCCTCACCTGGAGCAGAGCAGTCGTCAGTGATGGGAGACCAACAGTACAGGAGATGTGCAGTGGAGTCTCACCATCAGCATTGACCACATTACAATTGGCACCTTCTGTGGTGAGAAACAGACCCGCTTCTTCCAGGCCCTCCCGAGCCACAAGGTGAAGGAGAGACTCACCACTGGAGCCAACAACCTGGATAAATAAGAGAATAATGTACTTAGTTAAATATGATAGACATTATATATACACCATATATGCTAATAGAAACTTCATGAGACAAATTTATATATGAAATAAACAGATATTGTATTCAGAGTGCTGTGAAAGGTAAGAGGTGCTATAAATGTATAAATTTTCCCCAAAACGTTGAGTCCTGTGCGATAATATGTGAAATTAGTATATAAGATGATTAAAAGCAGAGCTGAGACTGTGAGAGATAAACAGGACATGCTTCTGGTAGTACTGTACTATATGTGTCTGAGTGAACAAATTGTCCACCATTATAATGCTTACTAGATAAAAGGAAATGGAGAATTGATCCTGAATGTCCTATTATAGTTTATGGTTTGGGGACCCAGAAAAATATCAACACTGATAGTAGGAATTCATTCATTGCTACTGAAGGCTGGAGGGTAATGGGACATGATGTTTATCAGCAGAGTCACTCTAGATTCATCCATAAGTTACAACTGCAGGGCCTTCCACCCAACCTCTTAATGACCCTGAGGGAGGAAGACTTACCTCTGTACTCTGGAAATGTGTCATAATTCACCGGCTATCATAGGCCTACAGATGATAAAATGTGTAAACAGTATAAGCCTATTCTGCATCATACACACACACTCACAGACAAATTACATGAGTGTCACATAAAACATAATAAAGAAATGTATATAAAGTGAGACATACAACTATGCCTTTAAGACTAACAGACCAAAGTTCCTCTTGCACACATGATCACATGATGTAACACTGTACTAGGCCTAATATTTACAGAGGAGGAACCCAATACATTGTGATTAATGTACATGTTGTTACCAGGACGAATGAATGAAGAAAATATGTGGGAGATGACAAAATGAATTTGGTTACTTTACCGAAAGAACACTAATAAACTTAAGTTGCGGAGATATACAGTACTATCAAAGTAACATTTTCACTAAGGAATTAAATCAAGAGAAAGAGGTGAAACAGTTTAAAAGGTGAATACTGTATCAATTCTACTTTACAGTGTTGAGAGAATCACAAACGTGTCACACAAGGCAGTGCAATAATGTCACCCATTGAAAAGGTTTAACTACTGTACTTGTTGAGCTACAAGCAAAGTTAATACAATACTGAGAGATGAGAAAGCTTACCTTCTGATATTTCAAGGCATAGGTTACTCCTGAGACCTTCACATGCATGCCAAGACATGGAAATTTATAGTATGTAAATTATGAACACATTTATACTATCCCACTAGAAACATGCAATAACCCGACACAGTTTACACGGTACTGTACCACACCATTCTATCAAGTCCAGCAGATTCTAAATACCACAGACTGTACTGTACCTCTATTGGACTTATGATTAGATTTCTGAGACCCAAAATATTATCCTATACCTTGTAATTGATTCAAAACCTAAAATTTTTACCTTTCACTCCAATATCAAATGAACCTTTCTGAAAGAATTGGTAACAGAGAAATATCATATCCAATAAGTCATTTGCTTTATAAATATTTTTCATGGTCAAAGACAAGATACTATTACATAAGAGTTACTACAGTAGTGATATTGATAAAAACTTTGCCAGTTGCCCAAACTGTACTTTTGACTTTCAAAATGCCACCTGGAAAGACTGGGAGAATTATTAGAAGTAAGGGGGATGGACATCAAGGAAGCAACTGGGAGTGTCAATGAGAAGACAGGACACCAGTGAGTGGTTTATGGGAATATTTTTGAGTTCGATTCTGCGTCCTTAAGCAAGTACTAGCAAGATTAAAAAACTAGCATGATGCCGTTAGCTTATATTAGACAAAACAAGTGTAAGTAAACTCACAGCATCAGGTGACGCTCCCTTCTTGATCAGCAGTAAAGCATAAGATGCATCACCAAAGTCAGTACTATTGACCAGAGCGTACCACAGCGGGGGATACCCAAACTTGTCCCTCAACTCCAGACGTAGGTTGTCGTGTTCAATCAGCACGCGAAAAACCTCCTCTCTTTCACCTTCCACCACCAGGTGCATCACAGTCCTGAAAAGGTTTAGGAATGCTGAATGCACTAAATGTATTTATTAACAAATACCTAGACAAGTATTTAACAAACTGATATGTTACTCACAGAAAATTAGGCCAGAATCTACACATATATAATATAGTACCTGCTCATTCTCTTACATTACTTTTGGTCTGTGAACTGTTGAAGTTTTTAAAAGTATAATATTGTACAGTAATTCAGAATAGTACACATGTAATACAACTACAGGTACTGTAATATCAAATTTTTATACACTGTACTGTACCTAAACTTTAAGTATAATGAACAGTACAGCACTATAATAATTGAGAAGTAAGGGAAAGATAATTGTGAATAGTACTGTATCTACTGTACCCTTTACTGAAGGCAATGAGGAACAATATGCTCACTTACTTCATATTCTTATCCTGTATGTTGGGGTCAGCTCCCTTCTCTATCATCATCTGTGCGACCTTCACCATATCTTCTCGTTTTTGTCGATCCTCGTAAACTTGGCTGACCAGACTGTGTAGGGGCGTTCTGCCATCGCCGGGAGTGGCCACGTTTACCGAGCACCCGTGATTCATCAGGAAAGAGGCGGAAAACTCGTCCCCTGAAATACCCCCAAAAAATTAAGTTTCTGGGTATATTGATGCGAGGAGCTGAGAGTTCAAGTGTGGTAGCTGAGGGACCACAATGTGAACTGAATAATGAGGTTAAGGATATGAGTAAGTGTATATACATATACACTTATCTTGACTCTTTCCTGTCACTTCCTACACTTGTATAAAACTGTTCTCTCTTTCTTTCTCTCTCAATGCTTCCTGTCAAACAAGCAAAGGCTGAACAACTGGACCAGCACAACACAAACTGAACTAACTGGAATCTACTTAGCTAAAGACTACCTTAAAAAAAATGGAGGTGGGGTGTTATTCTGTGACTCTCAAAGTGCTTTGAAATCAATGAACAGCCCGTCAGGTTCTATGTCTAAAGTTGTATGTGATATTAAAAGAAATGTGATAACTGCTAATGAGAACAACTCTCGTATCGAATTTGTGTGGATTCTGTCCCATGTTGGAATTAGGTATGACTATGCTGATAGACTCGCCAATGAGGCATGTAAGAAAGAAAATGTTGACCGTGACCTTGGCCTGTCCAATGCTGTACTTAAAACATTCAAGTCAGAATCATGAACTCTGATTTAGAAGAACTGAGAAATGCAGAGACCTGGCAGTTGTAGCACTAGTAAATATGAAAAATTTTGTGACAAGAGGTACCGGTATGGCCAGCATAAGGACAGAACTAGACAATGTGATATAGTTGTGGCCAGAATTAGGCTAGGATACAGACACATCTGGCAAGTTAGTAACGCTGTACCCATACCGGAACACTCAGCATGTAAACTTTGTGATAAACCTTTAAAGCATACACTTGAACACTATATTATTGAATGTGACACTGTCAAAGACTTAGGCTACCTGGCTTATTGCATCATGAACTTTGTAATTACTACATTGAATCGGGGGTGCTTGAGGACATTCTTGCTGTTTATCCCAAATTTGCTAGCCCACACTGATTAGTCTTCAATTAGAATATGACGTCCAATGTATATGAACCACTGTCCTGCATGGCAGCGAACAGTGACATCACCCACATGACTCTGACCTATATATACTGCTAATGAATATGATGTATTTCATTGTGTACGAACCTCTGTCCTGCATGGCAGTGAACAGTGACATCACCCACATGATGGTCTGTATATACTGCGAATGAATATGATCTATTCCTTTGTGTATGAACCTCTGTCCAGCGTGGCAGTGGGAAGTGATACCACCCTCAGTGTCAAGACCTGACTGAATTACAGTACTCAGAATAGGCAAACTGTACTCCAAGCTTTGTTAAACTACTCTCTCTTTCTTTCACATTTGTACAGTACAGATATCCCTCGATCTAATCCACAGTGAAGTAAAGAGGTGAGGAATAAAAAAAAATGAGACAGATAGAAAAATAAATAAATACATATAGATGCAGTAGGTGACTTCTCTTAAAAATAAAAATCCTTGATACTGTATCATTTCCTTCCAATTAATAATGAGGCATCTCTAAGCAGGAAGTGGAGCTCAGACCAAGCCCATAATAAACAGTCTAAGTCTTATGGCATCCAAAATAAAATCTGAATGTCAAAATACCAAAAATGACCTAAAAAAAAAAATCAAAGCCTATGGAGAGTTTTGTTGGTGTCAGGTGTGTGTGACTGGACCAACACAGCTTAATGACACTACCTGCTGCATGAGGACACCTGCTATACCACACCTCGGGACAGTGGGTAGGAGGAGGAGGAGGGGTTACTGATACAAGCAAAATGGATTAAACAAATTAACCTATGTGGGTTGGGAGAGGGGATATGGTAGAAAGACCCCCCCCCCCCCATAAGCAGTTGGTATTATGGCTAGTAAAAGGGTTAGAATATTATGCTTCAATCCTCTATATACAGTAATGGTTAAACAATATCAATAATTCATGGTTGAAATTAAAATGTTTCAATATAAATTTCAATAGCCACGACCTAGGAAAAAAAATCTAGATTGAAATTCAGTACAGGAAAATACCAAACACAAATTATTCCAGTAACTGACCTCTCCTTACAGCCCTGTGCAGCAGAGAGGCACCAGTGGGGTCGGTTGTGGTGACTGATGCCCCGTGTTTGAGGAGTGTGTCTGCGATGCAGTGATGACGCCCCAGTAAGGCCAGATCTAAGGCCATGTCTCCGGCTTCGTCCGCCTCATCCAAAACTGCCGGCAACTACAGACAGAAAGAGAAAATAAAATTGATAACCCTCATAATTTTTAAAACTCAGATACAGGTACAGTACATATATTTTTGGGGTGTATTTTATTTAATACAATATACACAACCATTCTCAAATACACAATACATTATACAACTACTTAACGACCTCCACCTAATGACTCCAACCAAACAGTCACCTGCACAAAATCACCAGACAGATATCCCCCACCGCAGGAAGACCATCTCCCCACAGTAGTATATAGCACAGTACTAAACAATTCACCAGACAACACTGTGGCCACCAAACGACTCAAGATCAATATTAATACTATAACAAACATTCAACTCACCCCCCTGACCCTCCCCCACAAAAAAAAATCACCTTTCCACATTACAACACTGCCCCTTCACCCCCCTTGCTCCAACTTTGTCAATAAATTTGTTAAACTTAAAAACAAAACTCTCTCTCTCTCTCCCTCTACACACACACACACACACACACACACACACACGTCACCCGAGGTTCACTGGGTTCACACAGCCACTTGGAACACGGGATATGACTGTCAATCCTTTATTATGCAAGGTTATACTTGTTTAAGCCAACGTACTTATCTATTAATAAAATCTCTTGGGTGATGGTGGGTGATGGTGGGTGGGTGGTTAGGGGTGGGTGGTGAGGGATAGTGGGTGGTGAGGGATAGTGGGTGGTGAGGGATAGTGGGTGGTGGTAGGTGGGGTATGGTGGTAGGGGATTTTAGTGGGCGGTAGTGGGGGATGGTGGTAGGTGGTGAGGGATGGTGACAGTGGAGGATGGTGGATAGGTGGAGGATGGTGGTGAGGGATAGTGGTAGGTGGCGAGGGAGGAAGATGGGTAGTGGGTCACAGGTGGTAGCAGGGGTGACAGTGGTAGTAGAGGTCAGACACAGACACACACAGACACAAGGACGCCAGTGTAATTGCTCTGGAAAACGCAAGAAAGTCATCTAGCGCTCACGAGAATTCTCAAACTAGCACACTTCATGTTCATACTCAGCCATTGTTGGAACGCGGGAGGAGGAAGGACCGCGGGAGGAAGGAAGGGAGGGAGGGAGGACAGCGGGAGGAGGGAGGGACGAGGGAGGCGTTCTTAACCAATTCTCTCCAGTCCTAATGATGATGATGATAATGATAATAATGATGATGATGATGATGATAATGATAATGAACCTATGTCTGCCATGATAGTGTTGGTGAATATAATACTGTCTGGGTATGACGTGATGATCCATGCAATGATGATGTACTGTATACGTTTGATTCCCACCCCACTACAGACAGACAGAGGCAGAAAAAATACAGTGAACAGACAGACAGACAGACAGACAGACAGACTACAACGAACAAAAAAAAATTAAACTATACACCCACCATTTTTTCTGGTCGTATAGGCGGGTGTAATATAAGAGTCACACACCAGCCTGGAGAAATTTATTTGGAGTAATAAGAGGGTATGGGACTATGGGCTGTGGGGGTGTGGGTGGGTAAAGTGTGGGAGGGGGTGGGGGGGGGGGAGTGGGGAAGGGGCGTGTGGATAAGGGTGGGTTAAGGACATGGAGAAGAGGATGAGGATAGAGGAGTAGCCTTGAAATATCTAGTGTAGTTATGAAACGATTAAAATAAAACAATGTTATTCCTCAGTGTGGGATATTAACAGTAAATAATAACAGCGTCAACACAAAGATGCCATAACATACTGAGTAGAATTATTTACGTAAGAAATAGATAACGCGATGCTCATTTGTCGTTAGTATAGATGACATGACATGACATTCGTGGTTTCTGGCAGTTATTGTTTAATTTACTCTCTCTCTCTCTCTCTCTCTCTCTCTCTCTCTCTCTCTCTCTCTCTCTCTCTCAAAACCATATCACCCTTCTTTATGTGAGACAGCGATGTGCGTTTATTTAAAGTTTATGAGAATTCATGGGGTGGGAGACATATATCGTCCCGTCTCTGTGTGTGATGCTTTGGGTGGCTGTATGAGCATTGGGGTGTGCTATGTGTCTGGGGTAAGCTGTGTGTGTGTGTGTGGGGTCAACTGTGGTCAACTGTGTGTGTGAGTCAGCTTCTATTGTGGGGAACTGTGTGTGTGTGTGGGGTCAAGCTGTGTGGTCAGCATGTGTGTGTGGGGTCAACTGTGTGTGTGTGTGTGGGGTCAACTGTGATGATGTGTGGAACTGTGTGTGTGGGGTCAACTGTGTGTGTGTGTGGGGTCAGCTGTGTGTGCATGTGTGTGTGTGGGGTCAACTGTGTGTGTGTGTGTGGGGTCAGGCTGTGTGTGTGTGTAGGGTCAACTGTGTGTGTGTGGTCAACTGTGTGTGTGTGTGGAGTTGACTGTGTGTGTGGGGTCAAGCTGTGTGTGTGTGGGGTCAACTCTCTGCACTCTTGCTCCTTCCTCATAATCGCTGCCTACCTCTTCCTCCTCCTGCCTTCCTCCTACACACTCCTTCCCTACACACACCCCTTCCCTCCTACACACTCCTACACACCCCCCTTCCCTCCGGCACTCTTCTCCTGTACCCCCCCCTTCCCCTCCCGGCCTCTTCTCCTCCTACACACACCCCTTCCTCCTACCCCTCTCCCTCCCTCCTACACACCCCTTCCCTCCCGACACACACTCTTCCTCCCTCTACACACACCCCCTTCCTCCGACACACTCTTCCTCCTCACACACTCCCTCCCGCACCCCCTTCCTCCTACACACCCCCTTCCCTTAGACCTCTCCTCCCTCAGGTCAGTGTACCCAACTCGGCTCTGTGGTGGCGTCAGTCAGCCCTGGCGCCGCTCTTTCCTTTGGCACCGCGATCGGCCACCAGCCGTGACGTAGCATTTCCATCACCGTGACGTCCTCATATGCCTCACGCGTCTTCTCCTGGCTACTCTGCCCACGCTAACGCCGCCCCCTCCTCACTGACTTCCTCTTCTGTAATTGTTAATGGCGCAACAGCTGACTCCCGAACCCCTGCCTTATTGTTACACTTACCTTATTATTTGACACTAATAATAACAACAATAGAAATAATAACAATAATGATAACAATAACAACAATAATAGTAATAGTAGTAATAATAATAATAGTAATAATACCGGGTGCTTCAACTTCTACTAATAATAACAATAATATGCCTGTATACCACACACACAGGGCAGCCAACACCACCACCTCTTACATAACCCGACCAGTCATCAACTCTTAAAAAAAATATATATATATATTTACTCTTATTCATTATTTATACAGTAATTTATTCATTCACTTTAGTTTTAAGGTTATTTACGGGCCTGGGGGCAATAAGGGCCTATGTTCGTTTCCAGTATTTTTTTTTACAACAATCGCGAGGTGAGGGGAAGAGGGTCATATGTGTTGTATGGTATAGAATAGATGGTATGGTATGGTATAGAATAGATGGTATGGTATAGAATAGAGGGTATGGTATAGAATAGAGGGTATGGTATGGGTTCACACCTACACTACCAATACATACCACCATACCCTACCATTCACCACCATACACCACCATACCCCACCATTCACCACCATACACCACCATTCACCACCATTCACCACCAATTATACAAATCTATCATGAACCTTAACCCTTTATATAAATTATACCTAACCCACCCCAGTAATTACTATAATTAATTACTGTAATGGATATAATTATTGTACGGGGGATAATTATGACCCACATATTATTGAAATGCCAACAGACAGACAGACTAACGGATAGGGGTGATTATAAAATACACCTATCTTAATATATATTTTTTTTTCATTGCTGGGGTTAGGTTAGGCTTAGGTTGGGGGTAGGTTAGGTTAGGTTGAGGGCAGGTTAGGTTAGGTTGAGGGCAGGTTAGGTTGAGAGTAGGTTAGGCTTAGGTTGGGGGTAGGTTAGGTTAGGTTATAAGCGTTAGTGTGTTTCTTTTACTGCCCCCCCACCACTGTCTGACAATAATCCTGGGAGATACACATGCCAGAAAAAACAAAAATATGTATGTGTGTATGTGTCTGTAGGAGGGCCACACACACACACACACACACACACACACCTCTCCCTTTGTGTTGGTGGTACAGTAATCCTTGTAAGAGAGGCTGGTGATGGTGGCCAAGTGGTGGGTTGACGAGGAGAAAAAACAGTGATTCATGCTCTCTCTTTCTCTGCTCCCCTCTTTCTCTTTCTTTCTTCCTGCTCTCTCTCTCTCTCATTTATCTATCTATCAATCTATTTACTGTATCTATCTACTCTTATCTATCTATTGTATTCATCTGGCTCTTCAAAAACACAATCCCTGGTTACTGCACAAAAGAGAGTTGTACGGATAATGACCTACTTAAAAAAAGAAACCAGATCACACAAACGAAAAATTTGCTATATTGAAAATGTTAAAATTCGAGGATATTAACACCTACTGCTCTGCCCTCTTTGTTTACAAATCTATCAATCACTTGCTTGACAATAATTATTTCCAGTCCAGAATAATCAGAGATACAACATAAGACACCCAGAGCTACTAAGACCACCCCTATGGCTCCTCTCAGTCCCAGACCTCCATAAAATATCACGGTGAAGGTGTGAGAACAACACCCCACCCATCCAGCAAAGACCACGTTCCCTTCCTCTAAATCATCTTAAAAAAATATCTATGTCTAAGTATTAATATTTCTTGTAACACTTACTATATTTACAGTACCTTCTTTTATTGTACCATCAAACCGTTTTATCGGAATATCATGTAAATAAATAAGTAATTACCATTGTAATAAACATAATTGCCAACTAGACATAATCCTGACAGCTCTGTTCTCTTGTTCATATATTACTGTACAATCATGTTGTACTGCTCCCCATTATACTTATGTTTTTCCAATTCCACTTATAAATTTATATATATATATATATATATATATATATATATATATATATATATATATATATATATATATTTCAATGGAAACGTGGATAAGAT